CAGCAGACCTCTACTTCGCAGATCTGCCTGTTCTGCTCCCTGCTGTCTCTGTATGCATAATAAATAAATCTTTAAAAATGCATACACACACACACACACACACATATATATATATAGGTATATATATATATTATATATGTTTATGGAATTGGTAAAGGTGTCAAACCAATTCACAACATTAGAATTTTTATCTCCCTTTCATGCCAAAGAGAGAGAGAATGAGTAGGAGAGTAATAGGGACTTTGATTCTCTTGTGTATTTGTAGTGTGAGAAAGTGAGATCTGTGAAATGTTAGGAATACTTTCAATAGAAAAACATCAAAGGAAATTACATTTTAAACGTGGACCAGATGTAGGTTAAAATAATAAGAACAAAGCAGCTGAAATCTCCTGTTACTACTAAACTTTTCTGCCTCATTGCTCTGCCCACCTCTTTTCCCAGCAGTAAAGGTATGTTAATAATAATAAAGTCCAATTGACCTTTCTTGCCTTCTTTACACAACGTGGGAAACAAGTTACAACTCATTTTTGAGAAAGATGTTGATGGAATCTTCTGCCAAGAGTTGGGGGTTGGGATGGTGAGGGGAGTGGAAGCTGGTCAGCTAAGCCCTGGTCCTGTCTTGAGAGTCTTGTCCTCTCTGCCAGGCCACCCCCTGCGGGACAGGGCCCCAGGTCAGCAAAGTCTGGTCTCATTCACAGGTCTGAGGCTGGCAGCCAGTCTCTGGGCCCCAGGGCGCGGGAGGAGCCTTGTGGGCCTTCTCGGGTCTTCTCCACTGCACTTGGTCCCGCTGCCCTGGTCGAGGCTGCAGAACTGCAGTGGGGCGGAAAAGGTCAACAGGGCAAATACTTGGAATCCACCGCCCCTGCAGACTTCAGTGGAGTTTTTTCTTCCAAGCCCACTTCCTCCGCCCTCTAGTACCCCCACCTCTCCAATTTGAGACGGAGGTAGCAGCATTTCACCGCCCCCATCCGTGCCCGGCCCCCACCTCCCCCTTCTCCTGGTTAGGGTACATGGGTTGCGGGTACCCGATCCCAGTTCTTCTGGGTACCGCAAGCGCAGGACCAGGGGAGAGCTCGAGCGTGACGGAGTAGCAGGCAGTCCCCGCGGGTTCTGGCGGGTCATGCAGAGGATGGGGGCGTGGGGGGGGTGGTCCCTGGGGGAGGGGTCTCCCGTAGCTTGGAGGGGCGGGGCACAGAGGAGGTTGGCGGGGGTGTGTCCGAGGGGCCTAAGCGTGGAGGCTAGTGCCGGGCTGTGGAGCCTCGGACTCGCACTCCGCGGAGATCCCGGCGCTTGGCGGCGTCTTTCTTCCGAGCCCACCAGAGAGGCGGCAGCGAGATGCGGAGCGGCGCGGGGGTCACTCTCTTGGCCTCGCTGCTCTGGATTACCGCGCAGTGCCAGCAGCGAGGTGAGTTCCGTCCCGGGTTCCCAGTCCCCTGGCCGGCTTCTGTGACTGGGACAAAGCCGGTCGCCCTGGCGCTTTTTCGGTCGGTGCGCGCATCTTGGTTCACCTCCGGCGGCGGATCCGACACGTGGGTCTCCCCGCGGCTCTGCAAAGCGCCTGCTCCGGCTGCTCGCGAGAGGGCTGGGACTCGACTCCAGTCGTTTTCAACTCTCTTGTTTGAGCCGAAGGCTCTAAACTCCTCAGATTCTTAGTTCCTGCTCTCTGGCTTTGTGAACCAGGACGCAGTGACCCAGACGCAGCTCCAACGATTTGTCCTGGGTGGCTAGAGTGGGGCCTCCGAAATATGAAGGGGTGCACCGACCCAGCCGCGGTCCCTGGCTTTCAGTCCCCTGGCTGTCCCTGGAGGCGGCCCCCACACTGCAGCGGGCCTGGTGGAACAGCGGGCGCGGGTGCCAAGCTGTGCGTCGGGCGCGGGGAATGAATGAAAAGACGTTCTCTCGAGTCAGTTTATTGTCCCCCAGTGGAAACATTATCTCCGGACGGGAAAGGGTGGGCTGCTCTGGGCTACTCTCAGCAGCGGTGGGATAGCAGGGAAGAGTCCTCGATGAGAAGCGTGCCTCGGGGCCAGCTGTCCGGTCAGAGGGAACCAGCTCATTGTGCAGGTCTCGAAGTAACCAAACTGTTTCATTTCACGCACAAGTTTAGACAGCGGTCGCTCAGAAATGAGGGAGCCGGCTATGAGGACTTTGCATACTGGCTGACTTAACATACTGGGTGTAGTGGCTGTCTTGGCAAAGCTTAAAAACAGAAAGCCAAGGCGAATTTGCAAAGCTTCTATCTATCAATAACTGAAAGAGGAAGAAAAACTTTCTTTCCCAAGCCCGTTCCCCACTCTAACTCTAGGGTTAAGTCTTTCTATCCCAGCTTGTTTTTGGCTAATGGTCAGTATTTGTCGAAATACTGACACATCTTTATATGTACAACGCTGGGTAGGGTGTCACGACATATTCCCGCAAGTACACATGTAATTTTTGAAGGAAAGTGCAGGTCAAAAGTATGTAGGGGGGAATGCGAAATACCCTCGTGGGAAAAAGTCTGTGTCTGGGCATTGTGCGCAATTGTGAACTTTGCGGAAAGGAGACCGTCCCATTCATTCAAGCATTCACCATGAAAGCAATGGACCGGAGCAGACAACACATCTTTGAATAGCTGGGCGTCTACAGCCCGCAGAGCTAGGGCTGGGATGGAGGGAATTTACATAGTTATCCTTCAAAGAAAGGATCCAGGCTTTTGGAAAACAAGGCTTAGGCTCTGCACTCCAAACTAATTTCTATGAGTTTTCTGCAAGTGAACAAGTTCCTGTTCCCATAGGGTGGAGAGCAAGCTGCTTGACTCAGCTTTATTGTTCTAAGAAATTGAAAGTCTTAGATCTAGGAGCCTGTGTGTTTTCCATGCCTCTTGGGGTGCAACACTTGGTGTTTGCAGTTCTGAATGGTGTTTGGGGAAAGTGGGACTGCATGGGGCTTTCCTGCTTTAAGATGCTGTGGAAAAGCACCCCAGTGAGAATTTTTGAATGTTTCTCCTAATTTTATATTTGCCAATCCTCACTTCATCAGCGATTACCCATCCTAATAAGCATTTTTGAGGGCGTTTTTATTTTAATTTTGTATACATTTTGTGCCCCCATGTTATATACTGTGAATGATTAGCAAAAAAAAAAAAAAATACAGCTTGGTCATAATTAGAAAATGGAATAGTCTTAATCTGCATCTGAGTTGAGGTAACTAGCTGGTGCTAATATTTTTGAAAGTTATCATTATCTAAAGCGTTCTGCTCATTTCTGTAGCTTCTCTGGATTATTTCACAACGTATGGCCCAATGATTAAACTCTTCTGAAATGTAATTCTGTTTAAAGTGAGCTAGTCTTAAGTTTAGAATGAGAGGTTGTATCTATAAAAATAATATTGTTTTAAATCTATAACTAACAATTACACAGAATTGTAGTTGCTTCACAGGTTCACCAATCAAATCTTCTGTTTTTAAACAATCTCTTTCCCCTCTAAGTAAAATCAGATAATTCTAAGCATGGGTGTGTGTGGGGGATGGGGGGCAGGTCTATGATTCAGAAAAAGAAATATTTCACTCTCATAAATGAAATAGTACTCAAATTTAGCATTCATGTATTCCAGAGCAAAGTGTGTGTGCTTGAATGGATTTAAAGATGTGTTTTTCTTTCCTGTAGCTGTATTCCCCAAGTAATGGCCAATAAAAAAAATACTGATTTTAACAGTTGGAAACAAAGTTGCATGGGATAAAATCATCACTGGCCACCTCCTACATATCCTGTACTTTGGCTTGTGCTTTTTCTCCCTTCCCCTTTTCCAGACATTACATATAAAGTCACATCTGTAGTTAATCTAGCATGATGAAGAATTCAAATGCGAGAAGGCTACGACATAGGCCTATAAGCATATATGATTATGAATCAAATGCATCTATAAAATATTTTTGAGTAGGTAATCCATACATATGGTACAAATTTCAAAAGATACCAAAGGGTATCTGAAAGAATAAGATTTGACTTACACACCTTTTGAAACACCACTACATTTAGTTGTTTTTTTTTTTTTGTTTTTTTTTTTTCCTGAATACCCTTTCAGAGATGTTACTCTGGCAAGCAAGCTACTTCATGAAACCTGGTTTTTCTCTGATAGCTTAAGGGTGATCCTTCTTGGGTGCTTACAACATGGAACAGAATTCTCCCTACATACAAACCTCCTCATACTAAATGGGAAATTAATCAATTACCTAGTGGATGTATCTGCTTGTAAACTTTTAACCTTCCCATTCCTCTTTGAAATGGGTTAGAACTGCATTTCCCAGATCTGAAATTTCAGAACTAGATCATCAATTGATGTCATGACATTGCACTCTTTTAAAAAGTATTATTTACTTTTAAGTAAGTAATATAAGCTTAAGCCATGAAGAACTATTTTAACATACTTTAGGACATTGATAATGCTGAGTGTCAAGTTTGGAAGCAATTCTACTTGAATTTTAGGATAGTGAGTTATTAGTTTTACCAGTAAGCATGATTTACCACTGAAACACTCATGTAGACAAAGAAAAGCAATTAAAGAAAAACAACAAATCCCTGATGAATAAAGCCAGACAGACATGCACCTTAAATACAAAAGTTAATTAGAGACAACTGGTGAGAACTCTTGATCTTAGACATTAATTGAAGTGTTATTTAGTTATTCCTCAGACATGTTTGCATAAATAAGATAAACTCTTCTCTGAAGAAAAAAAACGTACATATCTTACTTACTAATTTCCAAGTAAATTTTTTACTTGTTTTACTTCTAAATGCTAAATAAAGTGTATTTATGGACAGCTGAGTAAATAAGTGCATTTTGAAATTAATGAGGAAAAAAAAATCCTTTATAGAGGTAATTTAGTTAAGGTCATGAACTTGGGGTCTGTTGGAACATGCTTGCCAGAGAGCTATTTCAGCATAAAATGCCGAGTCTTGCTGGGTTCATTGTATTTTCATATCCTTTCTCCTGAGGGTGACAGTCAGTGTCCCAGTAACCATTTCCTAGCACAGAATCTTCCTTCTTGAGTCTTTGTTTTCTCAAGGCCAAATCAGGGAGCTTTCTTTGGGTAAGTAACTTCCCAGTGAATCTGTACCTTGCTTGAGGGAGGGGGTTGACAATGGAGGCTGCAGGATTCCAAATCAGCCTGGTGGATAACATTCTTGCTAGGTAAGCATTTATCTCTCAGTGTTAATCCAGAAACAGTGGGGTGGAAATACATAAGATTGTGATTTCAGTATTCTGTCCAATTGTTTTCCTTTTGAATTGACCATTTGAAGTTTGGATCGCTTCATTCCTGAAGTTATCTTTGAAGTTTGATCTCTTGGCCCAGCAGGCAGTGTGACTTAAATTCTTTAGCCAGAAAACCTCCTGTATTGCTGGTGGGAATGTCAAATTTAGATCAATGGGTATTTATGAAGAGTGCCATCTTTTCCCACCCCCTAAAGTATTTGCAGCATTTTGTCCCATTCCTCTATAATTTCCTGCCAGAACCTCATGAAATTCTCTTCAACAATAAAGATGCTTTCAGTAGATCATTTTCAGTTAAAAAAAACCCAACACATTGGAAAGGAAAAAACCTCATGCCACAATACTGATTATTGTACACTATTTATTTAAATGTCTCCCAACCTTTCATGATGACAGATTTTTATTCAGAAAAGGTGATTATCTTGTCAGGCCCAACCCCAGGAATTCTGTCCTGCTCCAGTCGCCTCCTCCGTTTCCCCAATTTGTGGCATACTTTCGCTTACCTTGGTTTCATCATTTCTTTTTCTTTCTTTTTTTGGTATACTCATCCTCAAATAGTTCCTCTGAGTTATTTCTTCTTCATAAAAGTCTCTGATTGCTTATGTCTTTGTTTTTCTTTCCCTAATCCTATTAGGGTAACAAATAATCACTAGCTATATCTATATCACTATAACCAACTACTTTGAATAAGTCTGTGATGCCAGCTCCCTTTGTCCTCTGCCACCATCTAGTGCTGCAAAAGCACTGCCTTCATCATGAGCCCCTCTTTCTTATGGGGTCCCAGTTCCAACCACTATTCTGTATTCCTTCCAAATCCCTATTCTGTATTCCTTCCAAATCCCAAAGTAACCAGCCAAATCCACCATTTTATCTTGTATTTAGCTTCTCAAACTGTAAGTGCTGCACTGACTTTCAGCTTAATGGTTGTGCTCTCATTACACCACCATCTGAACTGCATCCCAGACCAATCTGAAGCCTGCTCACCACCCAGGAACAACCTGAAGCCTATCACCTTCGCCTGTTACTATGTCCTTTATCATCAGTCCCATTTCTGTACTTACATTGTATGTCATGATGCATTGGTGTTCCATACAGCTAGATTTGCGATCTGGTTCTCTTTTGGATGGTTGGCATAGAATGCCATCAGTCAAGATC